CACTTAAAGACTTTGCTGCCGCCACCCAGGGTAGAAAAACGGAGATGGCAACTCTTTTGGATTTGGCCCAATGATAAATTTTGCTACAATGTTTGTCTAATTGTTCTGCACCCCTTTTAACAATTTTCTGTTTGGCCTGCCAGATCGGAATCTGGGTCATGTTGGGGAAAGCAAGTGAAAGACGCCCCAGGGTGCATGGAGCCCCTAGGAGGCGAGAGGGGATTCCTGGATATGCCTGATTTCCACAGATTAAAAACTTCCCCTTGTCTAACTTATCGGCGTAGGAATCAGCAGCTGAGGGAGCACCCACTTTGGTGATACAAGTGCACCACTGGTCAGCTCTAATTTCTACCTTATGTTGTTTCATATGGTTGTAGAGATTCGGGTGGGCATGTGGCGTAAAGTCAAACTGAACACAGTATTCAGTCTTTGTGAAGCCCTGTAGCTCAAATTCCTGGGGCTCTGCATCGGCAGTGGGCAGGTCATATACCCATTTCCACCACAGCCCTAGAGGGTTGGTAATAGCTGTTTTTTCATATTCAGGAACCCCCCAATATCTAGAAATTTCTGCCCAGGTGTTTGGCAGGTTCTTTTTATTAAACTCATGCCAGATCCTGACCAGGGTGCTGGGGTACTCACTTATTTTTCCTGGAATCCCCACCAGGCAAGTAGACATCGGATTTTCTGCTGCAGATGTTGAAAGGCACAGATGGTCTTGCTGGAGGGCATGGGCTGGAGTTATCCACACATTCTTTCGGGGCTGTGGGATGATCCACACATCCAGCAAGGACTGGTAGAGGGTCATAAACTGGAGACAAATTGAAGCGCTCCCGGGTCTCCCAGACCGCTCCGGATAGCTGCAGGTCCGGGACCTCAGGAACGCTTCGATGGTAGTAAAGAGAAAGGACTTCCACCGGGCGAGAGTCTCTCAGGAGGCTTTATTCTGAGGGCTTCGTTGACGGAAGGCGAGGGTGGTGAAGGGACACAGCCACTCAGAGGGCGAGCCAGCTCTGAGAGCCCCGAACCAGGGGCGGGGCAGGGTTTATAACAGTTGCAGGGAAGGAGGGTCAGGGTACAGAGCATCCAACCGGGTGAGGGTATGAGGGTGGAGTCAAGCAGGAGTGACACGGCAACGGCCAACTGGGAAAGAGGGAAGGAGTGGTTTCGGGGGAAGAACCAATGGGGGTACAAAGAACTGAGAACTTTCTAGAACAAAGGGAAGGGGTACCAAATGATTGACATAAACTGGGGAAGGGAGAACAGATAACTGACAACTGGGGAGGCGGGAAACTACACATCAGTGGCCTCCCATGGCAATGCAGGGAGGTCACCAACCACACCCCCTCCCACAACAAATGAAGATCATGAATGCAGAAATTGACATGGTGGGAGTAAGAAGACACTAGGGAAGAAAATGCCACTTGCTTTAACTGTACTGAGGGAAAGAAGGAACTAGGGGTCTTTTCTCCCCTTGCGACGTTGTCTATTGGATGCGACTGCATCATCTCTGGGGTCATTCAACGTGTTTGGGGAGGCACACTCTGATGGACTCACTTCCTATTCTGGTGTGTAAGGTTTGATTAATTTCTTAGGGATCCATTTGACTCCTGAGGACGTGGACACGCATGCATACCCACGTCCCCAGGTGATAAACTGGTACAGACCCTGGATTTCCCCAGAGTCTGAGTCCCTAATTAATACTGGCGGTCTTTCAATGGGTCTTAACTGCAGGTGCTGCTTAAAATGACACAAGACTGGCGGCTCAGGCCTATCAAAAGAACAGTTCAAGAAAATAATAGTGAAAAGGGCCTTGCGGAGCTTGAGCTGTGGTGATGAAACTCGAACATCTCTGCGCTGGCAAAGGAGGACTTTCTTTAGCATCTGGTGTGTTCTCTATATGAGAGCCTGGCCAGTGGGGAAGTGTGGAATCCCCCTCTGATGGTTAACCCCCCATTCCTGTGAAAACTCACCGAACGCCTTGGAAATTTAAGCTGGGCCATTGTCAGTTTTGATGGTGGTGGGGACTCCCAAGGTCCTGAATGCCTGCACTAAATGTTTTTGTGCATCCGCGGCCTTTTCTCCTGTGTGATCCGAGGCAAAGACTGCTCCAGAGAAAGTGTCCACAGAAACATGTACATACTTAAATCTGATGAACTCAGGTAAGTGGGTGATGTCTGTTTGCCACACCTCACAAGCGCGGAGTCCTCTGGGATTCACACCAGAACCCAGAGATGGTAATGAGGACTCCTGGCAGTTGGGGCGTGTGGCCACAATTGCCTTGGCCTGGGCACACCGCAGGTGGAATTGGCGGACCAGACATGGGGCGTTCTGGTGGAACTGTTGATGGTTTAGTTTGTCCTGTTGGAAGATGTTAGGCTGGCCAACCAGCTGTAGGGGAGCGGCCAGAGCATCTGCCCTACTGTTCACTTCTGAGATAAAACCAGGGAGGTCAGTGTGCGACCTCACATGCATTACACTTGTTGTTGCTCTCAGTGGGAAGCCAGATAGATCATCTCCGAGAGCAAGCTGAATATTACCGGGTTGGAAACTTTGAGCACTGCATGCTCTGCCCTGGGTACCACACCCGCCACATACTCCAAATCTGTAGCAATATTGATTGGTTCCAAAAATACCTCAAAAGCCCTGAGGACAGCTCAGTCTAACTCAGCCCTTCAAAACCTTTACGTCGGCTTCTCACTGCTGAATGAGGATCCTTCCATGTCACCACAGACTTGTGGGACCCTTCCCGCCAGTATGGGGAGTTATGCAGTCCCCCACTTGCACTGCCCTGTCTGGCCCACCTCTATGTCCCAAGGTTGCTGAAAGCATATCTGGTGAGCTGTGTCTGTTTTCAATCTGAGCTCTGGCTTGGTGGGCAGTTGTGTGCCTCCTGTGAAAGCAGTTCCCAAAACCCAGCCCTGCAGCTGGGACAGGCCAGTTCCTGCCTGCTGAGATCCTGTGCACAGGGACCTGCTATGGCCATGGCCTGTAGAGCTGGCTGTGGGGACAGAGCCAGCAGAACCAGCCTGGTGGGATGGGCTTGGGGCTCCTGCAGCAGGTGGACAGGAGCTGGGAGGGACATGCCCCTGCAGGCAGCACTGCCCATCCCCTCCCTGGCACAGCAGGGTGAAGCCCAGGATACCACAGGGCTGGGCACTGAGTGTCCTCTGCCCTGTCCCACAGGATGCCGGTGGCCCATGGCAGGTTCCTCCATGTGCCACAGAGATCGGGGTACCATCAGAACAGCAGCTCCACAACGCAGAACATCAGGGCTTCCCTACAGAGAAGCGGTCAGCAACAGGCCTTCTTGACAGTCCAGAAAAAGGTAGGAATGATGAAAGTGTGGACACAGAATGATGACTGAGGCTTGATGGCATTGCTGACTATCCAGAGGGAATCTGTGCCTTCAGTCCCCAGGGAGACCTGGATTGGGAGGATTATTAGGGGATGCTGCATTGGTTGGGCCCAGCATTTCAGCTTGTTGCCCTCTCCCCCTCAGCCCAATGTGATCCAGCTGCTAGACAGTGATGGACACATCTCAAGGGCCCGTAATGACCAGCATCCTACAGCGATCAGGACAAAGGATGCATCAAGTATGGCCCTGTTAGGGCATGGGGGTCAACAAGAACAGGGGGCTGATTATCTGTGGGGTACCGGCTGGGGGATGAGCTCTGTGTGCAGAGCTGGGCAGGTTGGGATGGGGCTTGGGGCTCTGACCTGCTTTGGAAGGGGCAGAAGCAGAATGGAGGAGAAGGACTGGCTCATGGGGCAGCTGAGCTTGGCTCCAGCCACGGGCAGTCCCTGGCAATGAGGGACTCACCCTTGGCCTTCAACCCCCAGGCCCTGCCGCCTCACGAGGGCCCCGGCCAAGCACAGCCCCCCGACATATCTCAAGTGCACCAGGGCTCATCCAGCCTCTCCAGCCCCTCCGGACATCCACAGCCCCCAGCCAGCTGGAAAGGACTCAGCGCCCAGTGCTCGATCTGGGACATCTCGTCAGAAGCGAGAAACGCCTGTGACACTGCTGTGTGGAAACATGATGTTTTAGTTGTATTTAGTTGTAGTATTTAGTTGTATTTAGTTGTATTATAAGTTAATAAAACCCCTTAAACTGTGGGCAGAGCCTTGTCTCAGCAGCCTGTCTCTTCCCCGGGCTCCCTGATGCTCCTTAAGCTCCTGGCCCCCGCTGTGGCCGGGCCCCCAGGCCGAGCAGACGGAGCCCTGGGCCAGGCCCTGAGGCTGCTGCTGGTCCCGCGGCGCCCGCGGGGCAGCTCTGACAGCCGGGCCCGCTGGGGCAGCAGGAGCAGCGCTGCACAGCCCGCGGCCCTGCCGGGCTGGGCGGCCTCGGGCAGATCCCCGTGGGGCCCGGCTGGCACTGCCGGCGCTGCTGCTCTCGCCTGCCGCCGGAAATCCTCACAGGCAGCCCTGGCGCCGACTCAGGAGCCGCTTGCAGCCGTGCCCCACGGCCGGCCCCGAGCCCCGGCGCCCAAGTGCCCTCGTCCCTTCATCTCTGCACGGGGAGGCTGCAAGCTGAGTTGTCAGCTTCCTCCTCCTCTTCCTCGCTGAGGGCCGGCCTGAGGGGCTGGCCCAGCAGTGCCTTGCCCACAGCTCCTGTCAGGAGCCAGAGCTGCTGCCAGCCAGGCACCCCCGGCTGTCCCGCAGCCTGGGGCCGATTCTGCCCAGTGCCGGGATGCCCTGCGAGGGAGCTCGGCCATCCCGGCAAAGAGGGGGAACCTGCCATGGGCCATCGGCCTCCTGTGGGATGGGGCAGAGGACACTCAGTGCCCAGCCCTGTGGCATCCTGGGCTTCACCCTGCTGTGCCAGGGAGGGGACGGGCAGTGCTGCCTGCAGGGGCATGTCCCTCCCAGCTCCTGTCCACCTGCTGCAGGAGCCCCAAGCAGGAAGCAAAAGCCTGTGCCACACTGGGAAAAGCCCTCCTTGCTGTATCAGGACTAGCCTGCACCCCGGGAGCTGGGCATGTGTCCTCAGGGGCCTTACCTTTGGCTGTGCGGTGGCTCCTTGCTGGGGGGCAGCGGCGGCAAATACGGGAGAGTCTCGGGGTACCTGGGGAGAGCAGGAGTCACAGCTGTGTGACAGGGGACAAACAACCTGTTCCTGTTGGAGGCAGCACCCCCAAACCCAGAGGATTGTACCCCATGGTACCCCTCTGCCTATAGGCCTTGGGATGAGTGCCCACACCCCTGCTGCTGGCAGGGCTGCAGAGGGGGCTCCCCACATCAGGGCCTCCCAAGCAGACCCTGTCACCCTGTGCCCAGCACAGCGGTCACTGCTGGCACCCATCTCCCCCCATCCCAGCCCCGCTGCCCCCGATGCACTGGTGCTACTCACTGGCCAGGGACCTGCACGGTGAGCATGCGGTCACAGGACAGGCACGTGAAAGGGACTGGCAGCTGCCTAAGGAGGGTGAGAGAAGAGGGCTGGGGGAGCTCCTGGGGCCACAGCCCTGCCCGCACACAGGCAGCAGCGGCTGGCAGCAGCCGGGTGTTGGGCAGGTCACTGCACAGGGTCACAGCGTTTGCAGGCTGAACCGTGGGCTCTTGAGCCTGTTTCTCCCCATCCCCAGTGTGCTGGCTGCTGCCAGCTGAAGGGCACAGGCACCCATGTCACCACCCCAAGCAGCCCCTGCAGCACTTTCAGCCCCTCTCTGGCACCAAAGTCCCCTGTGTGCACGGCCAGGAGGGCAGGGCATGACCCAGCTCTGGGACCCTGCATCCCACAGCCCTGCCTGGGAGGAGAAGTTGCCATCTCCCACCCTGGCTTCTGGGAGCCTTTGCACCCACAGCCAGATTTTTCATTTTGGAGGGCACTGTCCTGCAGGTGCCCTGTCCTCGTGCCTCCTTTCCTGTGTGGAACCTGCTGCTGGTGGAAGGAGAAGGTGCAGCTACTTCATCAGCATCCCCATGGTTTATTGAGCAGATGCATTGATCCCAAGGCAGGGGAGCACACGGGGAGCGTGTGGGACAGCTGGAGGGAATGGGACCGTTACTGTCCCCAAAGCCTTCAGAATCTGCATCACACTCACTTCTTAATCCCAGCAGCGTTTTCACGCAACAGCCTGTTCTCAAGTTCCTCAATGTTCCTGTTGCATGTCTCCTCCATCTGGGAGCTGAAAGCCTTCAGCTCCAGGCGATCCAGCTGTGAGTAGGTGCAAAGCCTCAGCCAGCTGCCCCGGGATGTGACATGGATCTCTCCAGGAAAGAGCCTGGAGGGGGATCCTCAGAGGGATGCTGCCTGAGGCAGTCGAGTCCCAAAGGTGCCAGTTTGTCGTTTCGGGGATGAGGAACCCCTCACCTTCTCTTCAATTGCATCTCTGAACTGACGCTGCATATTGTTCCAGTGCTCCTCCTGGCCTGAAATCTGGCTCTGCAACTCCTGCATCCTCTCATCCAGCTCTTCCATGTTCTCTTCAAACTGGCTGCAATTGACTTTGCTGCCCAAGGCAGCTTTGTCCGCCTTCTAGCAGAGGGGAACGGCAGGAGAGCGGTGGGGAAAGGGATGAGGAACCACAGGCAGGGCCAGCGCGTCTGAGGGTCGGAGGGAGAAGTGCTTCCTCCAGGCCATCATGCCCCTTTCAGGGTGCTGTGGCCCCATGTGCCCCATCACCCTGGTGGGTTTGTTCCCACCATTTGGAAGATGAGGGAACCCCAGCATGCTTCGGAAATTCTCCCTCCCCAGGCCACTCCTGCCACCCAGCCCCCAAGGGACAAGGGGCATTTGGCACCCTGCCTGGAAACCCTTGGGCTGGCAGAGAGGCCCATTGAGACTGTACCATGTCCATTGCTGCCATCACATCCTGCTCATTTGCCTTCTCCTTCTGAAGCTTCTCCAGAGACTGGAACAGTATCTTTCAGTACAAAAAGGAACCCATGACATCACAGCAAGGTTGGGGTACACCCCAGGATATGGGAGCATCGCCCTCTCCCCCTACACAAAAAACCTTGGCGAAAGGCACTTGGAACAAGCGCAGTGCTGGGAGGAGATTGTCAAGAGATGCTCTGTGATCCCTGCCCGGACACATCTTGGGGGATGCTTTGACCTAAAAAGGGTTTCAGCCACACACCGTGATTTCTTTCTGCTTTTGTTGAGAGTCCTTCTGGAGGATCCCTGAGGCTAAGCTGAGTTTCTCGTAGTCTTTTTGAATCTGCAGAAACTTGGCTTCCATGTGCTGGCGCAGCTCCTGATCCTGCTCCAGGGAAGGAAGAACATTAGGTGATGACCAAAGGGGGTCTGGCTGCTCCACAGGGCAGACCCACATGACTCAGCCAGTGGCCATGAGCTCTCAGTGTCAACAGGACGTTTGCATCAAGGTTTTAATCTGCATCCATGCTGCTGACTGGTCCAGGCCAATTTGGGCAGTTTGGGCCTCCCCCACATTACAGCAAAGCACCACAGAGCATGAGGATGTGGCATGGACCTCCAACATGACCAAGCAAGGGGTGGTGGGAGTGCTGCCCCAGGACCTCACCTGCTCGTTCAGCTGGTCGGCTGTCTGAGTCACCATCTCCTCCAGCATGGCATTCCTCCTCTCCTGCTGCTCTCCCACCTTCTGCAGCTCACGTTTTGTGTCCTGACACAAAGCCCTGGCCAGCAGGATGGGGACAAGATCAGAGTTACCCCTGCAGAGCTGCAGGGCACTGTGCTGTGCCTGCAAACCAGGATGCTGCCAGACGCCCTGGGCTCCCTTGCAGCCCCACAGGGTATGAAAGGTCCTCCTCCAGCTTCTTCATCTGGAAAGCCAGTGATGGTAAGAGTCAGGGCACGGACATCCTGTGGTCCCAGCGTGGGGGCCCTTCAGCTACATGGGCAGACCCAGGCTCCTCCACCTGGTCCTGAGACCCTGATCCCAAAGCCTGCTCTTGGAATCACATTGATGTTCCCCATGAGAGCCTAAAGATTACACAACCCAACAGCTCACTAAAGCAAGTGACTCCTTAATCTTCTTTATGTCTCCCTCCATGAGGATCTGTGTTGACTTTATCCTGTCCATCTCCTCCTGGAGATCCCGGATGAGAGCCATGTCCTAGGAGAGAGGAGTGGTGGCAGTGAGCCTGTGGGAGCGTCAGTGGGCACCTGCAAGGCCCTGACCCCTGCCGTGCTTTGTGGAGCCCTGGGGACAACGCAGGGCCGGGCTCAGCCAGGCTGGCAGGGCTCTGCAGGCAGCACGGTCCATGCATCTGGCAGGGCCAAGGGTACTGAGCCTCCAGCCAGCAGGGCCGAGGGTCCAGGCTGCTGTCTCAGACCCAAAATTTGCACCAAGCAGCACTTCACCTCGTCCCGTGATATCTGGATCTTCTTCATTTCCCCTGCCGTATGACGCTGGGCAGCCTTTAACTTTTCAATTTCTTCTTGATGCTGGGACACAGCCATGGTCTAGGAGAAAGCATTGTCAGAGACAAGTCTCTGGAGAGTGAGTGTGGGAAATATGACCTTGAGAGCCACAGTGGTCTGCACAGACCTGTGTCTCCTGGAACTTCTTCATGTCCTCTGAGAGGTGGGAAAGTTCTGCCTTTATCCCACCAAACTCCTCACGAAGAACCTATGGAACAGTCCAATCAACAGGGATGTCAGGGGTGATGGCCAGGACAGCAACACCCCAAAGAGCCCCACCCTGCCACGGGCAGCCCGTGGCAATCCTGGTGGGCAGGGAGAGTCCCAGTGCCACCTGCTCCAGCCCAGCTCGGTGCCAGAGCACTGAAGCCCATCCAGGTGGCAAAGAGCCCCTGCCAGGGGCTGTGCCGGGGCAGTGAGGGCAGTGCCAAGCAGTGGGGTGCTGTTCCTCATGCCGGAGGTGCAGGAGGAACCCCGTGGGCCCCTCGCTGAGCTATAGGGTTGTTGGGGCATAGACTCCTTTCTCCTCTGGAGTTCAGGGCAAAGAGTCTGCCTGGGTGAAGCCTTTGTACAATTCCCTACAAGTCAGGTTTTATGTCAGCTTGACAGTCCATAAAGAAGACAATGAAATTTTTTCTCTTGCCAATGCCCCCAAGACTGTGGGGGAAGACAAACCAAGTTCTTCCTTCCAACACCTGCCATCTACTCCATCTGCCCCTTTTCCAAAACGTGCTCTGTTCACCCCTAGTCCTTCCTGCTTCAAAGCCCTACAGCAGGTTATCGGGCTTGCAGTTTATAACTTTTAATTAGTTTTTAAAATTAATCTTTAGAAGTGTAAGTCCACCTCTCGGCCAGCTGGTAGCTAAACTTCTTTCCACAGTGTGTTATTCTTAGGGTTTGATTGAGAAAATCAGGGAACCTTTTAGTTTTGCTAAACTAACACTTAGGAGCTTCAGTGAACAAAGCTGCAAAGTGGACATGTGAAATGCAGGGTTTATAGCCCTCCAAGGAGTTGTTGCAGAGACCACTGGACAATGAAGAGATTAATAAAGGCAATTTTATATATGCTGGATAGCTCACTGCCTTGGAAAAAGATAATAAAGAGTCACAGAAATGTGTGCTAATTAGGATGAGAATCAAGAAGGCTCTAACCAATAGAGGTTAGAATAATAACTAATGAAGATAATTATGTATTTGAGAATGGATGCCCATTGATTTCTTTGTTTCATAGAAGCAGATAACTAAGTGAAAAGTTTTGTGCTTGTGTGTGGCTGCAACTCTCCACTCCACACACCCTGACAAGCACAAAATAATGCCTAACTCGCTAATACTAAAATGATCCTGTTTGAGGATTTCATTTATCCTGGTTTTGGAGACTGTTTCTAGAGTCCCAGAGAGAACTATGCTCCTTCTTTTGCTCCATGGATTCAGAGGATCGAGAGGACTCCAGTGCACTCCAAAGATTTTTAGGGAGATCCTCCAATGCCCGAATCCATTGAGTTCAAGGCTAAGACCCCTGGGATTTCAGTAAGGCAGTTTCAGACCCACCTTTAACTGCAGGTGGGGGAATTGTGGTAATGGCAAAAGTGGGGGAAGAGGCTGAGAGAGGACATGCTCAGAATGTTCAGCAAGGAACCCTGGATCAATATTTCCCTCTTGCACATCCCTGCTGGAAGGAAGTAGAAAACAGTGTCACTGTCTTGATGTGGACCAACGAAATTCCCTCCAAATCCAAGCAGTGGAACCAGTAAGGATTTTGTTTGAGCCTGATGGGCAACTGGTTGGGCAGAAAAAAATTATTCTTTGAAGTCAGAAGCTAGAAGAGGGTTAGAGGAATGATATAGGACTCCTCTCCTGCCAGTAAAGGAGCCACATACTTATGAACACAGGCTGGTACAAGATGTCAGAGCTGTCAGTGAAATAGTGTGAGACTTAGACCAGTGGTAGCAAGCCCTTATACACTTTTAAGCCCAATTAAGTAATCTGATGAGTCCTGATGAGTCCTCTGTTGTGGATGTTAAGGATGCTTTTTTTCTGCATTGCCCTTGAAACTGAAAGTCAACTCTTGTTTGCCATTCAATGGAAAGTTCCTTGATGGGCCATGAAACCCAACTGAAGTGGACCTATTTTCCTCCAGGGCTCAAAAATCACCCCACATTGTTTGAGAACTGTCTCAATTTGAGACAAGTTCAGAGGAGACAGGTTTCAGCAGTCCCTCCCACAGCAAGGAATGTTTTTGAGGAAACTGAAAAAAAGCTCTTTATTTAACACACAGAGTGCAGGCAGGCGCAGGAAACAGAATGAATAATGTTATAAATGAACATTTGTCCAGCCAAATTAATATGAAAAATAAAATATTTATTCTGCAATCAAATTCTATCTAGTCAGCCACAAGGAAAGAACAGAGCCGAGCCTGGGGTTGGCCCTGGGTGTGCAACAAGGAGTCAGCCTCAGCAGAGGTTTTCCTCCATGCCCACACACTTCCATCCTGGCACAAGCGGTTTTTATAGGGAAAATTCCGCCTGAGGCCAAGATTTCAGCAATCAGTCTTTTCTTCTATTCAGAGTCTATATGTTAATAAGGTTTTCCTTTTTGGTGATGAGGGAGAACAAATCAGTGTCTGGAGCTTGTTGAATCCCTTGATGAAATTTACGGGAATTCGGGAACGCTGCATTCACATGTATCTGCCTCAGGATTTCCATGATATCCATCTTGGGTCATTCACCCGAACAATCAGCACCTGGGGTTTCTGTATCTCCCCAGCCATGGCCCATCT